CTTTTTTCGCCAGTTTGAAAGCTGATCTTTCAAAAGAACCCAGTTTTGCAGTAACATAAAAACATCTTGGCAGCACTGAGTTACTGAGAGATACTTTCATAACTGAAAAATTACTTTGCCATCTCAAATTCCCTTCAGTATTTACTTCGAGGTGGGGAACCATCAGGAAGATCTTCAGATCATTGCATAGATTTGAAGAGTCATGTAAAGAGTCTTCAGAAATTGTCCTCTCAGTCACAGTGCACAAATGCATGGTGCACAGCACTATTAGCAATTCTCCACAGTGGTGTTTTATCTCAGCACCCCTTGGAATAACACAATGCTCATAAAAAAAGTCGCTGCTGGAATATATTATCTCATCAGCACATGATGATAAGATTGAATTGTTTGGTATTAGAAGCGATAAGGATTACCATATCAGCGTTCAGCTTGTTGGACTTGTATTACTTAGTGCAATTGACAGTAATCACATCAAAATTCTGGATAATTTAGCAATGATTCAGTAATAATTGCCAGATTGGGCTGCAAGGCAAATGAAATCAGTGCAGCATTTGTACAACAACTCAGAGCGATGGGATTTCTACCTTAAGAAAACTGATTTCGTGCATTTGTCTTTGGGGGGGATGGATGACTTCAAATGAGAGCAGGACACAACAGAAGCAAATATAAGAAAACTTCTACCTGAACAGCTTGGCAACTCTATAAATCCTACAACAAATTCTGGCCAAGATTTTGGCTCTGTGAAGCAGCAGCTCACTGCAGGCTCCTGGGCAGGGTAACACACACAGCTGGTGATGACAGCATTAGGTGCTTCCATGTGCAGTGAGCACACGAATGCATCTCAGTTTAGATCAACAGATGCAGCTTTTACTGTGCTGTTTATGCAGTCACTTTAGCAAGTTTAGCCCAAGAATTTGACTTCCATTATTTACTATCTTGACTACTTTATTTACTATCTTCAGTGCACTCAACCCACCAAACACGCACTCAGTAGCAACCTCGAGAGCTCTGCTTGAAGGAAAGGCAGAGAACAAATAAATCAATGTATGAATGCCAAAAAGACAAGATGGGAGAATGAGCTTTCATATCCCTATTTTGATTCCAGCAATAACAAAAGGTGGATGTCACGGGGAATATGTATGCTAAGGCAACAGCTGGGTGTTGCCCTGTTAAATGAGACCCGGTGGGCACGCACAGCATCACAAACAGGAAAGGAGTGGTCCTGTTTCCACACGTGTTATAATGCACATATCAGACGCCTGGTGCTTGTTCATTCTCACTTTATTCCTGTTTGTATACATTGGTCTCCTGTCCTTACAGAACCATCATATAGCAAAGAATGATCTAAGATACAGAACTGAAGCATCAGACCATTTCTCCTCATTACCCAAGGCAGATGCACCATCACCCTGCCTTCCCTCAAACTCATTTAGCTTTTGCTGAGCTAAGTGGAAGTGCTGCTGGGTGTCCAAGAGACTGTGCTTCTGTCCATGCTTGCAGGGAGGACGCTTCCCTTTTCACAACACTGTGACACTGTTGGTTCATGCTTAGCTTGTGACACTCCAGATTGTTTTGGTTTTTTTTGTTCTATTTGCTACTGAGCAAGCTGTCCTCTGTCTCATTCTCCTGCTGCTAATTATTCCTGTCCAAATGTTTCCCTTTGTACTGCTCCCTATTTTCATTTTTTTTCAGGTATTACATTAATAACTTGCCAGGATCATTCTGAATTCTAAGCTTGCCCTCTAGCATATCAGCAGTGCTTACAAATGTAATAGGAACGCTTCCCATTCTATTGTTCAGATAATTAATAAACAACGCTAGGCCAAGAGCAAACTAAGGGCTTGATTCTTGATTATCTCTTATATTAAGGAATATTGTCTGCTAACTTTACACCCAAGGAATAATTTACACACATAAACACAAGTCAAATTTGAAGTCAATTTGAGCCCAGGCTGAAAAATGAGGTCCTTAGAGGGCAGACGTATTGGTAACAGAGATGGTTGCAGGTACTTGTCCCAGCAGGACAGCAATAAACAAGAACATGCAGTTAAAGTCCATTTGGAGAGAACGCCCTATGGCTACAGCAGTTTCATGCCACCAATTTTCTTTCTATCAGCCACAGCAGTTACATTCACCACAGGAAACCTACTATCATCTGTAACAATATATGCCTTACACTTTTGGATTTAGAACATTCTGAAATACTTTTTCCTATTTTTTATATCCCGTGCACAGACATATGGAAGTATCTAACTTCCCTGCTTTCTTGTTTTAGCCCTTACGCAGTGAGACTCCTACACAAATGAAGCTGAATAACAAGAACATTTTACTATTAGAAACCTCAATGATCAAAGCAGTTGGCATCTGTAGGCTTACAGCAAATGTGGGGGCTGCTTTGAACCAGAACACAAAACCTGTTATACCATCTCTCAAACTGAGATCCAGTCAAGCACAGCACCTAATTGTAACTCCACATACTTGGGGAAAAAGGGGAAGAAGTTGGTAATGGGTGGCTGCTCCTCCTGACACCTTTCCCAGATTTAACAGTGACATGATTATTTTCTAAGTTGGCATTTCTTAGCACCTGTGTCTGTGCAAGCTTCCACTCCAATAATTTCAGCTGTTATTACTTTGACTAATTTCAGTAGTCATCTCTTGAAATGGAGAGTATTAAACCCCTAGAATCCCAAACTGCATAGAGTGCCACAGCTCTATTGATTTTCATCTCGTAATGCCAATATGCACCAATCAACAATTTGACCTGAAACATTCTGGAAAGAATCATTATATTAAATTGTTCACTTTTCCACGTGGACAGAGGAAAAAAGGACGAGAATAAATCAGCTACCGCAATCAAATCTGCAAATGCTGCAAAACTGAAAGATGAATGCCAGTGCTGCTGAAGCCAATACAAGGTCAAAATATTAATGAAGTTCTCCTAAAAACGCATAAGCAGTAATTGCAAGATTGAACTGAAAACCTGAGAAACGAGGTCAAACAGGAAATTAAGATGGAAGGTATCGTTCCGATTGCTGAAACATTAGCTCAAACGTTTATAAGCTGCTCATCAGAGAAAAAGATATTATAATACATTTTCCACATTGGGGCAGATTTTCTCAGATGGGTTCCTGTGTGTCTGAAGATGAAAGACATGCATATCATCAGCATGTGTATGAATGGAGATCAGGAAGGAATAATGTCTCACTTCCACCTCAAGAGCTCTTTTATCACTCATGAATTTGAATGTGTTTGGCCTTTTAAACTCACAGCTTCTGTTGTCCCACCACAAACACACTGCAAATCATATAAACTATTGCATCAGGTAGTCTGCCCACTCTTCATGCCGTGTCTGTTGTAGTTTATGCTGTACAGAATCAATCCAAGCTCTTCTGGTGATATTTTAAAACTGCTATTGATGAACAGAATTGAGAAAAAGACGAGGATAAAGAACCAACTTTTATTTGCTGCACTGCTTTGTCCATAACAGTAGACATTCATTTCTGAGACTCAGTTTTCTTACCTGTAAAATGGGGATAACACATCTATGTGTCTTTGAGTAATGGTGAAATTCCATTCAGCATGTGCATAATGCTCATTTTGATTGCCAAATGGCAAGTGCTACATAAATGCAAGGTATTATTGCTATGCATTGTAAACACAAACATGTGAAAATTGACACACTGTGGTTTTTTTTCCCCCTCTTGAGCTGCCCTTTTGTTTTAAAAACAATAATCACTGCCATTCTAAAACACTGAGAGGAAACAACAGACACAGGATTCTCTGTACACACATGCTGAAGTGGGGGAAGCCAATGCAACAAAGGACAGGGCCAGGCTGTAGTCTGAACCTTCATGTTCCCACAGAGCCCTGCAATACATTTTTGTAAGGTTCTTTTTTACTCTCTTCTAACTCCACATACATGATGATCTTATAGCTGCTTTTTCCATGTTCTCCCTATTTATGGGATAATTCTACAGCCCTCTGGCAGGACAACCTTCCATTTGTGATTTCAAAGGGAGCACAAAGCTCAAGGAACTCTTTATAGAGCCACTGATTCATTTATCCTCACCCATAGCAGAGCATAAACACAGAGGCAAAACAAGAAGAAACTGTTCTGAAATTCACCGATAACCAAGTAAGGTAGCAAAATAACAAGAGAAAAATTATCATCAAATGATAATAACTGGGATTCAGCAGCTTTTGAGCTTTTTCCTCTGCAGCTTGGGCCCTCATGCCATTGGGTACACGTGGAGCACAGGGCTCCATCCCCAGCCCCGCCGCCAGCCGTGGGTGTAACCCAGCTCATACATTTGTGGCTCCGTACTTCTTTTGAGCTCAGTGAACCTGAATTTCCACAGGACCGATGGATCCCAAGACGTGCTTCTCTGCAGCACGGGACAATCGAGTCTGTGGCATTCAGCCACGACAGCCCCTGCGAGCTCGTCCAGTTGTGTGAGTCTGTGCCGCTCTGAGCCACCTCCAGTTACAGCCAGGTGACTTCGCTCAGCCACCTGCCTGCCATCCATGCACCCAAGCCGATACCACGGCTCGTAGGGCACAGCCTGAAAACCCACTGGTTCCCCTCCGTGGGACAAGCGAGTTCACAGACAAAGCATTTTAACGTCTCCTTATCGCGGACATCTGGCTGGACTTCCCTCTTTCAGAACTCGCTCTTCGAGGGCAATCCATCACAGTTAATAGCAGGACGGCGCGGGGTCCCCGCTCCCGGCCATCCCCCGGCGGAGGCGAGCGGCCATTTCTACCCGCGGCGTTGGGTTCCTCCGTCCATTTCCGCGCGCGCTCCCCCATCACTCGAGGCTGCGGGGAAAAGCCCCGCCCGCCGCCACGGTGCCCCGGTGAGCGCGGTCCGCGAGGGGACGGCGCCGAGCAGCCGCCACGGCCCGGCCCACCCCGCCCAGCCCCTCCCCGCCCGGCGCTGCCCACCCCCGCGGCGGCGCTGCCGGGCGGTGCGGAGCGTGCGCACTGCGCTCCCGCGTCCCCCTTCAGCCCGGCCGGCGGAGTTGCGCGTCCCGGCGGCGCTGAAGATGGCGGAGGGTGGCGGAGGCGCGCCCCCCCCCTCCTGCTCTTCCTCCTCTTCCTCCTCCTCCTTGAAGGGGCTGCGGGAGCAGATGGGTGAGAGGGGAAGGAGGGGGTTCGGGGGCGGGCTCGGGCGGCCTGAGGGCACGGAGCGGGGCCGTAGCGCGGGCTTTGTGCGGGGCAGAGGCCGGGGAGCCGCTCCCGCCCTACCGGGCCGCGCCGCCCCGGGGCTCCGGCCGTGCGGTGCGTGCACCGCCCGTTGCTCGGACGTCCCTCGGTTTGCAGCTCCTTCAGCGCCTTGGTCCTGGCGGTGCGCCTTGGGACCCCTCCGAAGTGCAGGAGGAGGGGACAGGATGTGGCATTGCTAATCAGAGATGCGATAATACTTTCTGTTGCTTCTTTCTTTCTCCCCTCCTTTGTGTGCTGGCTGAAGGTACCCTGCGCTGCTCTGGTTCTGTCCTCCCGTTTTCACGTGCTTATTTATTTTTAAGACCCCAAATAACTGTACTTTGCGACGTGCTCGATGCGTGTGCCAAGCACGGTTCTGTAGCACTGCTGCACTCACAGCTTCGTGTGTGAGCAATTATGAAAGGTGAATAATCCCTCACAGCGATTTTTTAAAAAGGGTATCGTGCATTTTGATGTCTTGGTTTGATCTAAACTAACATGGGCTCTGTGCAAGGACTACTGTGACAGCCTCCCATAGTGTTGGTGCTGCAATGACATAAAGAAGAGTGCTGGCAAAAGGTCCCAGGTGCTCTATTCTTCTTCCCCATGTTCTTTGTCAGGAATGTTGCCTAGTTACTCTTTTTATTTCTCTGTTGAAATTAAGACAAGGTAAGCCTGGCGCTTGAGCGAGGTAACAGCCAGACAGAAATGGTGCCCCTCATTGCACAGGCTGTGTCTGCTTCACCCGTATCCTCCCTGCTGGGACTGCAGCATTGTGCTCTCGTGCTGCATTTCTGCACAAGTCCTCAGGAAGAGGACACTCGTGTCTGCTGACAGCTGTCATGGCCAGGTTTAGTCCCAAAGCCAGAGGTGAGATGTTCTTTAACCAGGTTCTTTAGATACACATGCACATGTTATAATGTGCCCATCATGTTTAAAAATTAAAAACCCCTCACTAGATCCTAGAAAGAATAGACTTCAATTTATTTATTTTCTCCCCTGAGGGGAATATAGGAGTCATTGAACCAGAGCCTAAACCTCAGCTTACACAGAATGCATTTGTACCACTTAGTGCTGGAAGATGAAGTCAGTGCTAATGTGAGCCGAAGCAGTGCTGCTGTGAGCATATGCTGCTGCAGTGCTGCCCCTGATTTCTCCCTCGCTATCTAGGGAGAGCAGAATGTTTAGAAATAGTCCTCACAATCCAGTGGCTGACAATGGAATTTGCAAGATAATTGCCGTTGTGTTTGCTACTCTTTTGCAGGGTTGTGAGCAGCTTACCATAACACTTCCAGCCAGCCTCTGCTGTTCTATGGGAAGTTGTGTACTTGGCTGTGTGTCTGGAGAACAAATGTCTGTACAAACAGATGTACCCTCAGACCTTTGCCTGTGAACTTCTGTTTGGGCATTTCATGTCTAAGGCCAATAAAGACAAATAGGCAGTGCCTTGCTCAGAAACTGTGGCTCCCAGACAGGACAAAAAGGATGTATGCTTTGTATGAGTTATCTCTTGAAATTCATGCTAGTATTCACTTAAGGGAAAGGTGTTTCTTCCTGTTAGGGTCTCAGCTGTAATTAAGGTTCTGCAGGCCAAGTCACTCTTGCAGTATCAGTGCTGCAATTCCCCTGCAACAGTTTTCTTCCTCTTTACATCTGTCCAGTCTTATTTCATTTTGGTAGATGACAAAAAACAGAGTTTGCTTCTACAGCTAGAAGCTAGGTAGCATTGCAGCCAGTGATGCATGAGCAGGCAGCTTCCATTAGTATATATAGAATAGTGATTGCATACGATGAAAAAGCAGCCCATAAATGGCACTTTGTTACCCCGTTCTTATGATGCAAGCTATTGTTATCCATCAGGGACAAAGAGGAAGTTTGCTCAGATTCTAACAGCATAAGCACTGAGCTTGTAAAGATTGGAAAAAGGGAGATGGTCGGTTACCTGTGGCTTACCAGGTAGGTGAGGTTTTTGTGAGTGGTGCAGGTCATCATTTAAGCTGATGTAGCCTAGATGTATTTTATTGTTTTATCTTCATTTTCAGTGGAATCCTGAGATCTCTCAGCTTGTTATTTGCAGTATCTGTGATGGGGAAGAAGCGTTTGCTTTCGCCAGAGCTTGGCAGCTCAGCTGCTAGGATGTCACTTGTGTGCTGAGTCACCATAATGCAGGTGGTTCAAAACATACATATTTAGTATATTAAAATGCTCTTTCACTTCCTAGACCTACTCAGTCTCTTGGGAATCCTGTCTCAGGACTTGGAACAAAAACAAAGTGCCTTTCTCCAGTTGTCTTTCCTACAAACCTAAGCAGAGATGTAATTCCCATTGCCTTTGTGGCCAAGCCCAGTTTGGTCATAAGTTGTTTGCTGCAAGAGCAGCTCCAGTCAGTCTGATGGGTTGTTTCTCCCTGCCTGAGTGATTCTATGGCTTTGTCCTTACCTGGAACACAGCTCCTGGTGGTTTTTTTTTTTTTTGTTTTTTTTTTAATATTAAATACATACATACAGAATTAGCACTGAGAGAATTTTTAGTGAAAAACAAACAGTGGTAATTCCTTCCTCAAGCAAATAGAAAGGAACACACTTAGAGTTGTCTCCAGGTAATAGACAATGTGTCTTCAGTGCACAGAACTGATAGCAACAGCTATGGCAGTACTGGAGGACTCTTTGGCAGAGTTCCACAGCAGGTGTTGGTGAACAGATCACTGGTTGGCACCCAGAGGTACTGCTTTGGGACCCAGCAGCACCCATCAAACGAGTGATGGGCTGATCATCAGAGCTTCATGTTGGAAGAGAGAAAGAATAAGCTTTCAGATGTAGATCCTCAAAAGCTTTTGGATTTGATGTGGTAGTTGTGACTTAAAGGTGGTTTTCAAAACTGTAAGGCAAGGAAGTAGGTTCCCAATGGCATTGGTGATGCTACAGGGAAAAGCATCTTCAGCATTCGGTTGTTGTCTGTCTTGGTGAAATCTGTACCGATGGCTCAGTCTGCAGTCCAAAACTTTTGAACTATTCAAATGTCTCAAAACATTAAAAACATGAAATCCTCCTTTCTGTGAAGTTTTTTTTTTAAAAAAAAAAAAAAATTAAAAACATAGGCACATACAAAATACTTTGGGAAACAGCATTCCATTCTGTACGTGCTCGGTGCGTTAACGTTGCAAAAGATACATTTGAATTCCATGCTTCCATTTAGATAAAAGTGTTACACAAACAATGACTTGCAAGGATCACAGCTGTAATGGTGAAATAGATGCTGTGGTTTCTGCTGTCCCTGAGCACACAGCCTTAAAATGTGACTGGAATTAAGGACTGCTTTCTCTTTAGGTACATTTGAAATAAGAAAATGGGTGGGATCGTTTAAATTACTGATACACCGTTATTAATTTTCAGTTATTAAAAGTGCCTGTAGTCCTGTTGTGAAAGGATGACAAAGAAAGTTCTGAGCATGCAGTTGTAATGACTTTCCGAACATGATGTATCAGCTGACTTGCTGTACTTCAGCAACAAACTCGGGACTTCAAATGCCTGATCTACCACAAATGAATTAGAACTGTTTAGCTCCTAATTATGTCTCTTACAGCCAGGTAGTCCTTAACTCATGATATGCTTTTGATGTGTTCATGTGTGCCTGTCAGATAATTAAAACTGTTGGAGATGCTGGTAGTTAGCTTGGTACCACTGGCAGTGTTCAGAATAGCTCTTCCTTTCCTCATAGTGTTTTTCTGCCTTCGTAATTCACAGGGAACTTCTAAAATATTGCTTTATGAGCAGTATTTTAAAACTTTATGAGCTTTATGAGCTGGCTGTTAATTCACTGACACCCTCTGCTGTTTAAATGCACTGGCCTGAATCTTTGGAGGGAGCAGGGGTGCTGCAGTGGCTGTGAATAGCTTCATCTGCTGTGAGAGTTATATCTGCCTAGCAGAGTTAGGCAGTGGGCAGGCACCAAACAGGAGAGCAGAAGCATTTATCTGCAAGGAAGTGCTTCAAGTGAGCAAAAGCAACCAGGCTGCTCAGGGAAGAGGGAAGTAGAGGATAGGAGAAGTGAAGGCAGTGTGAAGGAAAGGAATCATAAAATATATGTAAAAACTTATTTTTCTTCTGTGTTAAACCCATCTCTCGTTCTGTCAGGCTTGCATACGCCTATATATAAGCATGTAACTTATTGTGTAACCCTTTCTTTTCACAGTGAATCCACTTGGAACCGTGCAAGGGCTTATTATTATATTACTTCATTTCATTTAGGTGGATTAGAATATTAGGATATTGGAATTTCCTCTCTGCAATGATAGGTAAATAGGGATTTCTGTTACACTTGTGGAGGCTCACAAGAGATCTCCAGTCATAGCTGATGCCATTAGCATTAAAGCTGTATCTAAAAGCTCTTTAATAGCAATCACTCCAGGTGGATGAAAGCTTTTCTGTTTGTTTAGCAGCTAGCAAGTGGAGTTTGTAGTTGCCCGCCCACAGAAGCTTTGTGCTGAAATACTCTTTACATCCAAAATGTGACTGTAATGTGTTCTGCTGGAGAATTTTACTGAGAGCACAAATATTTTAGTGCCCAGCTCTTTCACTGAGAAACATAATGGTCTCTGTGTCTAGACAGCAAGGAACCAACAGCAGTGCATGGCTGCTTGCTGCAAAGTGCAGGTGGGATTGTAATGCTTCTGTGTCCTTTATGTAGGAAGTGTCAGGTCTAAAGAAAGGTCACTGAGCAAATCAGCTTGGTAAGCACAGTGCAATAAACAGATTAATAACTAATGCCAGGTGGAGCAGGGCAGTGATTGAAGTCACGTTAAACCTTGCACAGAGTGGGGATTGTGTGAACTGGAGAAGCATTTCCCAACTGAGAATAGACTGTCTGCCATGACTCAGTTTCACTCCTTTCAAGTGGTGAGCACCAGTGTACCTGGCCAGCAGTGAACCCCAGGCTGCAAAGCCTGGTCTGTTCTCCAGAGCACGTGGTGGACGTGGCTTGTCAGCCCTGTGCAAATCCTCTATGTGCATGGAGCATCTCACCGTGGCTGGAGTTGGTGACATCTCTTCTTCCTCTTTAAGCCTTGTGCAGGCAGGTGCTTTCCCCGTTATTTAGAAGCATTGCTCTGGGCTGAGCACTGTGAGTAAGGTTAGAATAACAACATGAGAGATAGCAGGATTCTCTGTAGGGGGTACATTCAGTGTGTATCAGCAGCATTGGAACAAAGGATGCTGCTCAGCTGGTGCTGTTTTCAGACAATGCTGTAGCACCTCTGACCACAGAAAGCTTTTGTAGGTGGCTGCCAATTGTTGTAACAGCAAATTTTGATTCCTTGTCTTGCGCTTTCATTCGGGTTCAGTTTAGGTTGTGTTTTCTTTTAGGGAAACACATAGAGAGATCAACCCACAGATGCACCAGCAGCCTTCCTGGTGCCTTGCTGGGGCTGCATGAACATGGGAGTGTGTCCTTGAGATTGCTTCAGCCATAGCTTTTTAGATTTCCTTATAGGAAATAAGTAGTGTTTTGTTAGATGTGGGGATTTTTGTCGTGTTTCTGGCTCATGATCTGAGTATGGATCTTTTAAGGATAAGTAAAAACTTACATTCTTGCAGATGCGTCTCAAACATTTACTTGTTTTCTTTTCGAGCTGCTAACTCACAAGCTGCAAGGCAGTTATGTCAAGTGGTTTTGCAGTGGATCAGTATTGGTGATGAACCAAAGAAGTCATCCTAAGCTGCCTTGAGCATTGACAAGAAAACCAGATTGTAGCAGTGAATTAGGTTTAGAAACGGGCTTAAATACTGCAATGACAAATGTGGGGGTAGGCAAGCACACGAAGGTCATAAAATAGATATCCCACATAGGGAATAAATATAAAAAGAAAGGCTGCAGGTGGAATAAGGGCAGGACATCCAGCAGCTCTCTGCCCTGCTGAGGCTGAGAGACAGCAGTGATGTTTTTGGGAGATCTGTGAGCTTCCTTCCCATCTGCTGGCTGCCCAGACAGGACAGAGGGCCATCTGCCTGCCAGCTGCTGCTGGAGGAGCCGTGTCCCTGCAGCCCCAGGTGGGATGGAATTGGGGACATGAGTTTAGCTTGGAGAGGGGTCTGCTCTGCCCCTGTTTTACTGGGAGATTGTGTCCCCGTGCTGAAGAGTAAAAAGAGTAAAAGAATTGTGTAAAAGCACAACCCAGTTGTGTAAACTGCTCAGTGTGTGGGTTTGTGTCTGTTTGTCTTAACCTGTGTTAATTAATGAGTGGAAATCAGCTTAAAGGGAAATGCACAGAAATCTCAGCCTTGAATCCAAACTTCCTCCTGTGTTCCTGAAAGCGGTTGGGGAAACCATGAGTGGAATTGGGATCTGAGGAGCGGTTCTGAAAAGGATCTCTAGGATGTAGGAAAGGTTGGAACTCAGTGATTTTTAAGGTCCCTGCCAACCTAAGCCATTCTGTGGTGAGTGTCACTACAGGTCAGCAGTGGCATCTTGCAGATTGATGTGATCCACTGTAAAACTAGAGGTGTTTGCTGAGAAATCCGCGTTCATTCCACTCTGTGCCTTGCTTATTGGCTTCTTGGTGCCTGCTTTAAACTTTTGGATATGTATTTAGACTTATAATGCTGCTTAACTTTGAGGAGATCCGTGTGAATGCAGAGGCAGTGCGGGCACCAGCGAGGTGTGCTAAGAACAGCAGTACCCCATGTGGCCTTCAGAGCTGCAGCAGCAGCCAGGAGTGTTAACCCGGTGCAAGGACAGAAATAGAAACCACGCTGTATTTTTAGCAGCAGTCTGCTCAGGACATATTGGAAACCTCATCAGTGAGGGAAGTGGCACCGTGCTGTGAGTGGGGCTGCAGGGTGGGCAGGGGGCTGCACACGTGGCCCTGGGTAACATCGGGTCTGGGCGCTGTGCTTGCTTTCAGTCATACAGGATGCTGCCCTGCATAACAAACACTGTAACTGACACACAGAATGCTTTGGCTGAGTGTTTCTAGGCCTGTCTTTTCCTCTGTGTCCGTTGCAGGCTGTTTCTGCAACCCACTTTCCTGTTCTATAGAATCTCCAGTGATTTCTGCAACCTGAATTATATTTTTAAGATGAACTGATTGCCTTGCAGATATGACACATTTTTAAAAGGTGCCTTCTAATCATAAATACCACCCAAGTGTTTGCATTTCGTTTTTTTAATGTATAAACTTAATCACATCTAAAAATACACAATCCATAATGGCTGCTTTGTTCATCAAGACTTCTGTTAATAAAATACTTCTGCAGATGAAGTAAGATGAATTTTATACCTCCTTAAATTACAACGTGCTTCTTCCTGTAGCTTTCATATAGAAATTTGCATGTTTAAAGTTTTGGGGAGTACAATAAAATCCCTGTGTTGGTCGTCACTAGAACTTGGTTGCTAGAAACAGCCTCAGAGATGCATTGGGTGCAATTGAGGAAGACTTTTGTTTGGGGCTGCAATGAAAAATGAATTCAAGACATGGCAACAGCTGCAGGTGACAATTTAGAGTTGCTGAATAAGCATTGTAATCAGCATTTATCGCTGACATCACATGGGATTAAACACTTGGAGGTGATTGTTCTTGGCCGTGACCTTAGGAGGGATTATTACTGTGGCAGAACAAGTTGTCATGGCAATACATGAAGGGAAAGAGGCTCTTCCTTCCTCCCTTCCTGTCTGTATTCCCCTATTAAAGAAGGAAAGCCTGAGATCCTTGGCAAAGTTTTGGGTTTTATTTATTACTAACACCAAATCCTACTATTCATTCTTCACGTTATGGTTTAAATTGTGGTTACTTTCGTGGATTCTGCGATGATGATGGCAACGTGTCACTAGAACTGTAGAATGGCTCATATTGAAAGGGACCTCGGGGATCATCAGGTTCCAATCCCGTGCTACAGGAAGGGCTGCCAGCCTCTAGATGAAGCACTAGATGATGCTGCCCATGGCCACAGCCAACCTGGCCTCAATACCTCCAGGGACGGAGCATCCACAACCTCTCTGGGCAGTCTGTTCCAGCACCTCACCGCCCTCTCAGTGAAAAATTTGCCTCTGACATCTAATCTATATCTTCCTTCTTCTAATTTAAAACCATTCCCCACCGTCCTATTGCTATCTACCCTATCACCGTCTACTGTTTTACTGGTATCAGGGCTTTTGCTGCAGCACTTCACCTTCATACCCTGAGTGGGGACAACATGAAAGCTGGATACTGAAATAAAGCAAATCTGCGAAAAGTGATACAGTAAAAAGTCTCCCTGACTTCCGAATGGCTTTTGTTATTTGGTGAAACTGATACAGCTGGCATTTTATTTCTGTGTGATTAACTGGGAGCTGTAGCCCTGCAGTCCTCTGTACACACCTTGGTAACACACAGTAAGGCGAAATTTGGAGTCTAACTTATAATTAAAATTTGTTTTTGAGGACCCAATTTCAGTTGTACACTGTAAGCATTCCTTAATAGCTCACTTTATACCACTGGCCCTTTTTCTGTTTTGCGTCATGAAATAATGAAAGATGCTCAGAAACCTTTCCCTGGTTGGGTCTCATCAGAATATTACTCTACCACTGCCAGCAGTCTGCCATATATCTGTTTCAGCCTGCCAATATGTGAGTGATGGGAAAGAATTCTTACTAAGTCGGACTCATAATTCACTATTAAATAAGTTAGATTTTTCTTGAAACTGTTTTTCCTACACATTTCTAAAGCATAAGCTTTTGTCTCTGCTCCTCTTAAAAGTAAAAGCTGCGCTACCTCCAGAATCTCTTTGGAAAGGTTAAGAGATCAGCAGTCTCAATTTAGTAATTTAATAAAAGGATCTGCAAACTCAAATAGGATTTGATGCATTTATTTTATGTATTTAATGAGTCTTGGTTTTAGAGATTGTCTTCAAATGGAATGTTTCTTTCCTGCAGTTGCTGCAGCCCAAGCTATAGCAGATGAAAGAAGAAGCCAAAGTGGTGTCAGCCCTATTGCAGTCCAGACCTCAATAAACGTAAGAACAGCGACTAAACCAGGTATAATTATTGGTCCTTGTTCTTCATGAAGTATTGGGCTCACAGGGAGAGTTACTGGGGAGGACAGGAACACAAAACTTCCTTTAGGGAAGTTTGATGCTGTTTGCTTGGGAGATCAGAGCATAATGTCCCTTGTTAGATGGGTCACAGTCAGTGGAGGTGTGGTTCTGGTGACAGCTTTTGGTTTATGGCTTTCAGAGTTCGACTGGTAAAGTTGATTATTGTTCCTGCAGGGTGTCACAATGAAGATGAATCCATTCGCAGCGTTCTGGGATGCTTACCAGTTCACTGCTGGCTCAAATTCAAGTGTTTGTAACTGCAAAGACTGGGGCAGTCTTGGTTCTGCTTAGCCTGCAGAGTGGCTGTCCTGCAGCACTTTGAATTTGGCATGATGCCCAGATAGAATTTTCCTAGATTCCTGTATTTCTTGATAGTAGGAATTAATACGTTCAAGAGTAAGGATCAGAGCTGAATTTGGAATAAGCACATGTCGTCACAGCATGTCTGATGTCTGTTCAGGCCTTCTATTGACTGTACACAGTGGCCTTTTAATCTGCTGCATGCTTTCTGCTGCACTCATTAAAAATATAGGATCGTCTGGAGTAAGGGAATGGAAAGAGGGAAAAGGAGGGTATTCAGCTTCCTTGAATTTTCCATTTGAGCACTGTGATCTCTGTATAAAGTGTGCAGTGCTTTGCTGGTGAGTTTCTCTCTGAGAATGTCCTATAAACCTTTCAGTTGGAAGGGCTCAGAATCTTTAGATTTCAGTGTTCAAAATAACTGACAATTACATGTTTTCAATTTTTCTTTTGACAGTGATAGATGGTTCCACTCTAAGAACAGAAGAAAGGCAAAGACTGGCCAGGGAGCGCAGAGAGGAGAGGGAAAAGCAAAACGGTATTTTCATGTACAACCTTACGTATAATTTCTGAAAATCTTTGTGATAAAATAATAGCTTATTCTCTTACTTTTGTTCAGTCACTTATTTTTCAGCTTGCTGGGGACAGACAACAATCTGCCCATGGTATTGTTTCATTGACCATCGGTGAACCCGAAAGGAGAACTATTAGAGTTGGGAGGAAAATATTCCAGAGATTTGTGGCTTCTTGAAGCTGTATGTCATTTCTGACATTCAGTTTTCTGGAGATCACCAAGCAAAATTAGCTGCCTTCGTATTCACAGTGTTAACAAAAACACTTCTGAAATAATAACCCTTAGCTTAGAACCACTACCTGAACACTGAGGTTTGGGAAACACAGAGGAAACCAAAAAGAATATAGCTAGTGGAATGGCTTGATTGCTTTGAACACTGCTTTTCTTGTTTCCTAGAACACTGAAAAGATTCCTGGATTGAAGTGACAGCAGTATCTGCTTTATCTCAGCTAAGAATTGAGAATTAAAGTATAAAACTTTCACCCAGCTTTATATTGCTTTAGATGTGAATCTCAGTTTATATACATGCAGCAAGAGATAAAGGGTTCCCAGTGTGGCCTGCAGTCCTTACTCTTAGTCTCCCAGCTGCTGAAGAGCAGTCTTTTCCTGGCCTGCATTTCTGTGTTGCTTAACGTATGTGCAGAGACACATAGGAGTGGGAACAGAGAAAATAGGAGCAGGACATATGTAAATCTAGAAGTAGTTTGGGAGCCTTGTATGTAGATAGTACAAATGCATTGTTAATGTAATTATCTTGTTTCTTGGCTCATTTCATCTGTCTAGCCAAAGCAAATACCTTTGCTGCGTATTCAACTGCTGGCTTTTTGTCCAGGGAGCTGAAGCTTCCTGCTAAACTACACAGCTGTGGAGAATAACAATATGATTTTGATCTCAGATGCAGTATATCTGCAGGGTTTTCCTATCTTGTTGCTCAGTGCTTTACATCTTTTTGTTACATCTTATTTTAAAAAAATGGGAGAGAATTGCAAAATACAAAAGTTCCACCCTTTGATACTCAGCTGCTTACTAAGATTTCACTATTATGATGGTGAGAAAGGTGTGTGTATAATATAGGTTATATACATATCCTGACTTTCCTGTCTGGACTGTGAAGTGTAATGGCAGAAAGTGTTCAAATTCATTGCCATCCTGTGGACAGAATTAAAGGTATCTCTGTCATCATGTGCAGCATCATCCAGCACTACTAGCTAATCTTGGTGTATGTTTTAACTTTAAGGGGTGATGATTTTGCCTGGTGGTAGATTTACTTGGTAGCCTTTTGCCTGTAATCTATGCTGTCATATCAATGAGTAATTAAGTTTGACTTCAGTTTTTTCTTTTCAGCTGCCAAAGAGTCACAAATCCTCGAAAAGGAGAGAAAAGCAAAACTCCAGTATGAAAAACAGTTAGAAGAAAGGCAGAGAAAGCTAAAAGAGCAAAAGCAAAAAGATGAACAACGGAGGGCAGCTGTAGAAGAAAAGAGAAAACAAAAAATAGAAGAGGAAAAGGTATGGTGCTTTGAAGTTCTTTAGTTATGAAAGGGTCGATTGCCAGAAGCAGTGTGTCAGCAATAAAAGCATAACACACACACAATGCTTTTGTAAGCCAGCTGTGAGAACTTACAGTGGGTCACTGATAAATAGGGTGTAAGCCTGGCTGGGTGTCTTCTGAGAGTCCAGCTGTTGTTACACTGTTCTAGGAATTGGGGTGTGTGTTTGTTTGGTTTTGTTACCTTTTTTGTCTGGTGTTTCATTCTCTGTAATCAGCTTCTGGGTGTGTTCAGATTGATATTCCATTCATGGAATGGTTTACATTTTTGAAGAATAAGCAGAAATGTTTGGGGTGGACCTTGGCCACAGCCCAGTGCAGTATTGTCTTTTCAAGCAACTGCTTTAAGCATATAACATGCATTATGCTTCATGAGGTATGCTTTAAGCCTACAGTACATTTATTCATGACATTTAGAAGATGGTGGGTGTGTTTTAAATAGGCATGGTGATAAGCGATGGCAGGACTAGCTGATGAGTGTTCGTTTGGGTTAACCTTGTCTTGTACTTGGTCCCTGGGAAATGATGGTTATGCACAGTTATACATCTGGCAGGCAAGGAGATAGTGATCTTTACAGTTGATCTGTAAGCCTCTTTTTCAACTAAAAAGTGAAAACAGATCCTGACATTTGGACTCTGACATTAGAAAATAATTGCTTTTAAAGAAGCTGTCTTAAGGCAGTGTTTGTCAGCAAGATCTCATCTACACTTGTAATTCAGCAGATAGAAGGGCATCAGAAAATACGCAGTCTGCCACATTCTTGTTGGATACTTTAGCCAAGTCTCATTTAGTTAATCACCTTTAGATAATGCAGAGGAAGCACAATCACAGGCACTGGAAAAATAAGTATTCTCTGTCTCAGCCAGATTTGAAGACAATTAGGCATGGCTAGGGTTGAGATACCTGTCTTAAAACAATTACTCAGTTATTCTGTACAGCTGTGCAACTGATTGCATTGATATCTTGAGTTGATAACTGATTTTTTCATAAAGCAAAACTTATGTCTCTTACTGTGACTTTCAGGAATTACTGCGTAGCAGATACCTCATGGAAATATCTGCAGGTTACAGAAAGGTTACATAAGGGCTAGGTGGTTTGGCAAGGAAAACCCTTTTACATTTATCTTTTTCTGTGTATGGAGAGTATCCTTCCTTCTAAGCTTGCTTTGCATCACACAGTGACTGTGACAGTCTGTTGTGAAATGGCGTTGAAAGAAGGTGAAAGTCTTCTGTCCTCAGGAGGGGGAAGCTTTCTGATGACGAGTCCCCAGGCATCTTGCTGTAACGCATCAGCAGTAAATACGGCCTCAAAAGATCGCTTGAGATGTGACTATTCCATGCAAAAATCTGTGTTGACACCTGTATAGAAAGCTGGCTGTTAATGGAGAATAAATGGTCCAGCATGGTTCAGTCTGTCTTTATGCACAAGAGCTGGAATTCCCACACAAGCGCTTACTGTCCTGGAGGCAGGAGAGCTGTGCTTGGTTCTCTGTCCTGTCAGCAGTGATCGCTGTGTGCTGCAGCTGATGGATGTTTTCTGCAGTTTTGCCTTCACATCTTGCTATTTCTGGTTTCACTGTATTTGTATTAATGTCCATATCTGTTAGTACTTGGTCTGTGTTTTGTGTTGTTTTCTGAAAATACAAATAGCCTTATGCTGACACCTGGTATTTTATGCTGGAGAATTTTCAGCGCCTCTTAGAACTAACTGCAGGATGTAAATTTAAAGAATAAGCAATTATTTTTGTTCAGTATGGACTTCGTCCTTGTTTAGAAAGTAAGTAGTGCTGTTTACTGAATAGGAAATCTGGTGGCTATTTTAAGTAAAGAGTAGAATAGATTATCTGTGGTTTAGCTCAGCCTAATTACGTTCACAGTTTTGAAACCATTAATTACCATTGACATTTTTTGTGTGATGGCTTTTGCAACAAAATTAAAAATAAAAAAATAAACCAGCAACAAGTTGTAAATCTTGCTGTACGTTTTGTCTTGTGGCATACCTGTGCTTTATACTTACATAGCTAGCTTCACAGAGGTGTTGTTTGTTAACAGGAGAGACACGAAGCAGCTCTTCATCGTACCTTGGAACGGAGTCAGCGACTGGAAACACGACAGAAGAGATGGTCATGGGGAGGATCTGTAACTCCAGATTCAGAGAGCAAAACGGGTAAGTAGCACCTTTCCTAGCATAGCTAGTTGCAGAATATTGTGGGTGTAAGGCAGGTGTAGTGCTGTTCATAGAGACCTGAGGATCCTTTCCTGTCTTGGATTTTATAACAGGATCCATGAGTTGGTTCCTATTAGTATTGCTGAGATAGAAGCTGGTTTTGACTTTGGAAAATGGAAATTGCATGGCAAATATATACCTGGCAGCATTGCATTGGTAGTTCCCACACGTCAGATAAGGGAATTGTAATGCATAATTTAAAAATAATTCTGAAATTCTACAGTAGTTCTTCTGTTGCAATATGTATAATGTTATGCTCAGAGTGGTGATAAACGTGACCCCAAAAAATCATTCAGTAGTATTCTATCTAAAACGTTTTGAACACATTAACCATTTTAGAATACCAACTGATTATTCGAATGACCAGTAATGGGCAAGGAGGTACAGTGGACAGTGTCTGAGCTTCCTGGAGAACAAGTTGTGTCCTAGATTAAGTGATGCATCTTAATAGTTTCTAACTGAAGCTCAGATTGTTGCATGCTTCTCACAAATAACTAGTTTTGCTTGTAAATATTCTGAAATCAAAGCAGCTAACCAGGATTGTATTGGGAGGGAGGCTTTTATGTACTGCCTAGCTGAAGGGGAATAAGTAACTTAAAAATCTGTTATTATCCAGGAATAAAATAAAGCCAAAAACTCTTCAGTTCAGCCTACCTTCTGAATTGCTGCAATTGAACCGTGTGTTTCAGCTTTTGTTTTTAGTAGTGTTTTTTTCTGTCAGCTTGAGTGTTGATTTGCAAGTGTTTGTGTATAACATGTTTGAAAGTACTTGTGATAGGAGTTATCGTTATGATCCCCAGCTTCCCCAATCTTAGCTGCCTTACATTGTTTATTTTTATACTCTGTGACTAAGCTTATGAACCTTCTTCTTCCACAGAGCAACAGACCACAGATGAAGGTGAAACTGGTGGTATTGATTTCCAAAATGTTCTTTTTCTGTTGTCTTACGCTCACTGCTAACCTTTTAAACTTGAGTTCTTGATTCTCTGAAACTAAAGAAAACCGTCTTCGTGTCGAACTTTTCCTGGATCTTGGCCAGCTGTACAAGGAATGTGATCCCTAAGTGGAAAGCAGCCCTCTATGTTTTTAACTATCCCTCCCAGCTAATTAAACTACAGCTTAAGTCATGGCGTCCTGAGGGAATTTTGAAGGAGAGGATATGAGCATTTGAGTTTTTAAAGATGATGTGGGGAGGAGAAATCCTCAGTGTATTTGACCATAAATTGAGTAGTTTAAGCTTTCCTTTTAAAATGGGAAAATTTCAGTCCTTTCATTGTTTCCTAATTTTAAAAAGTGGGCATTGGTTTAATTTTTGTTTGTGGGATATCTCTTGTTGGTTTTTGTTTGTTTTTAACCAGCAATTGAAGTAACAGTAGTAAAATCAGACCATTTGTTGCTAAAACGCTGTGAAAGGGAATGGATTCCGTGTGAAGTTTCTTTTTCCATGAAGGATTTTGCAAGCCAGATATGTCCTGTATAAGTCTGTATATTAAATGTATTTTCTTCATATTTCTATGTTTGCCAGTGTACAGACTGAGCCATTCATAGAAACCCTTTGGAACAGTAATGTATTTGTGAAGTCTGTATGTTTAATATGCAGTTATTTCATGTAGCTAGTTGAAAGCAACAGCTCTCAGCTGAGAGCCAGCCAAATCTGAGTACTGAAAATCTGTGCATGCTCACAGCATTACTAATTCAACACAGCTGTCTCATAATGCTGACAATATGAGGCTTGAAAATGCAATGAAAATCTGAGTATGATTTAACTACCATGGCTTATTCTGGCTGCACAGGAGAGGCATGTGCATTTCATTCTCTCATCCCTTTCTCTGCACAGCATGAATCCTTCATTTTCTCCAAAATTAGCCACTTTCCCTGTATTGGCTTACCTGTTAACCATATGTTCCTTGGGTACACATCTAAATGCAATTACTGTATTTCACACTACCAAACATCATTGAACTTAGAGGGCAGGATATCACATTTGTCTTGCATGTTTAGAAAAGCGCTATTTTTTTTCTCCCGTATTCTTTAATTTTAAAACTGAACTAATTTTAAAGCTAAACTTTTTATCAAGCATAAAATAATGCCCTTTGCTCTCTCCTAATTGATGTGAGGAAACAAGTCCTGTCTGTCCTTTGATCGTGGAGGAAGACTTGGTCCACAGAGCTGCTGTAGCACATCAAAAATAGACAGTGTCTTCCAACAAACATGCTCCTAATGTGAAGATAAAAACTTAAGCCGTGCCTTAAGCATCATGAAGTAGAAACAGGAAGAGCACCCATGTTCTGCTATATGAGACAAATTTGAGTAATTTGGCACTGATTTTGAAAAATTTGACTGTGGAGATAAGCAGCACGGTATTTGACCAGGACACTTTCATGCATCCACACTGTTTTAAGCTTTGTTAGTTTTTAAATTGTTTCCAACATACAGCTGTCTTTGCTGGGCTGATGGATTCAATTCTTTTCATATTTATTCCTGTTTTAGGCATGCCCTTTGCTTCCTAACTTTCTGGGAGCTTGTTGCTTAAAGGTTGTTAAAAATCTACACAGAAAAACCCCCATGGGGTAAGATGCATAAATCCAGCCAGATTTGTAAGAAAAATCTTTGTGATCTCTTTCACCTTATATTTGTTTAATTGCTGGAAAGAGAACAATTACTTGTGGATTTGGGGAAGATGACACCATATGAGCTCTGCTGCATTACGTCATTGTGGCTGAGTGATGCACCTGCTCCATCAGCACGGCTGGAGCAGATTTCAGGATGGTATTTTTCCATCATCAGTTGCTGTGGATTTGGGATTAAAGGCTCCATTCCCATTTCTAAAGTTGAGGAACACCAGGAGGCAGATTTCAAATGTTCTTTATTTCATGTGCTGTGTAAGTCTTTCTTGTCTTTTGAATTGCTGCAGAAAAAAAATAATTATTTATATATACAAATAAATACATATATATAATTTTATAGATTTATAGATATAAAATGAGGTGTCCTTCCATGATCCAGCCATGTCAACAGCAATATGCAGGAACATTGACTGGTAAAGCAGCATTTGTGGTGATAGAGGTGATGTGCTCTGGAAGGTAAAGCCCGTGTAATTGAACATTTCACCAGCCATCAGCCTTTCTGTGTTATGTTCAGAATGTGATTCACTCAGGCTGCACCAAATGGCCTGAAATTTAAAAATTGATGAAAGCCCCAGAGTCAAATGCTACGTTAATGACATTGCTGTCAGTGCTGAGATGAAACATGCTGGGTGTGGGTCTGCCAAGAGAAGTGGCAAGGCTGTGTAATAAAGCATCCTTAATGACAGAGCCCTTATAAGTGAGGGAGGTTTAGTGATGACTGCTGAGCAAAACTCGACGTTTGGGCACACCTGGAGACTTGTGCTATTAGAATAGAAATTAGGCTGCTACGTTCTCTCTTTTCTAAGCAAAGAGATTCCTTATCCTAGTAGAAACTTGAACTAAGAGGCAGAGAATCTGATTTTATGTTGCCTTATTTTATGCACCCCTTGAAGGCAATGTCCTTGCTCAGTGAAGCTCTGTGAGAAGCTAAGGCTGAGAGTTGCCCTCTGTCATAGTGATATATTTAAGATACTGCATTTCACAGCTCATTACCAAGTTACTGATTCTTTCTTTGGCTTTGTTGCCACAATTAGTTTTTCCCTTGCATTAAATAATAACAGCTTTTTAGTACCATGTGGAATGATGCTATATGCTTCTTGCAGTTGTAAGTTATAAAGATCTTAGACAGTTAATGCAAGATAAACTTTCCTGGAGGGAAAAAAAAAAATCTCATTGTGAATAATACACTTTACCAGTTAGATTTTTTCAGTAAAGTCATGAATTGGGGTATTTTTCTATCTGAATGCTTATCTATACACTATACTTTTTTCTTTTGAGTCTCCTAACAGCAGTTTCATCATTTATCTCTGCTAAACAGCGCTGACCACCTTCAGAAGTTGTGAACTTGCTGAAGTAGAAATACTTGTCTTAGTGTAATTTTTCTCAAGGCAAGATTTAAGCTTCTGGGTCTCAGTAGATCACAGACCAAGGCTCAGGCTTCATGCAAGTTGTGAAGTTCCAATTTAAACTGAGACATGTGTAAATATCTCCATGATGTTAGGAGGCATTTGACTCCCTCATGCTTAAGTTAAGGTTTGAGCTGTGCTTTTTTCCCCCTTTGTTTCCCTTTTTTTGCAGCAGCCACTAGAGGGGAGTGTTTCCCTTCAAAAACACCCAGATGTAAGCATTATGAGTTCCTGGTTTATTGCACATAAAACCTTTCAAGGCTGTTTTAGTTACCAGAGTACTCCGGCTTCATTCACTAAATACCATTTTTGTTGCATTAGGAAAATCTAAGCTCACATCTTAGTTTCTTAACTTGAATGATCAGAGATTCCCCTTTCTCCCTCTTACTTCTTTATTCTCTATCACAAGAGCTTTCAGTTTCTTCAGCTTCAACTTCAGAATGTGCTTTTCCCTTCACGTGGCTCTGTTGCTTTATGAGGGAGCCCCATGGCTTCTGGTGTTTCAGGAAATCTGGGTTGGGTATGTGAACCACAAGTACAAGCAGAGGCAGGGATATCCATGGGGACCCTGTGCTCTTGCTGTAAGGAGCTGCTATAGCTTGCTAGCCAAAGGGAAAAGAAGCTGCCTCTGGTGAGTAGAGCTGCTTTTTCCTTTGACATTATTTATGCACTAATGAGTTCACATTAATCATCTCTGCAGTTCAGTATGCCAGCAAAATCAATTCTTTCTGTTAGATGTATAGAATTTCTCATGTTTATTGTGCTGCTCCTCATTGCTTTATGTGCAGTACTGTTTTCTATGTAGTGAGTTTCCATAGCAATAGATGCATGCTTTCCCAAGGTTTTTGTGCTCTGGATTAATTTGAAATTAAAAAGCAGGTCTTTATCAGGGTAGTGGTGAACCTGAGGTTTTTGCAGTATGAGATATGATATTATACATGTCTGTGTATGTGTTTGTATGCACAAATAGGTTAATGCTTCCCAGTACAATTGTTGGAAGGCTGCTAGGAATAAGGAATGCTTAAGGAATAGCTTTTTCAAAAATCAGGAGATTTTTAAAATGAAGCAGCTCTTGAGAAGTAATTGGAAATAACGCTTTCTTGGCTTTCTTCAGGACTTGCTTTCATCCTTCCAGAAGCATTTGTTGTTTTTGTTTTGTTAACTAGTGACTGAATAGCTGGTCTGACACAACCTGAGTGGGAGTTAGGAAGGGAGAAATCACTGTTGCTCAGGGTGTGATGTTCCCTTCTCTGTCTTGCAGTCTGGTAGCAGCACCCAGCCTCAGCATTCATCTTTATGTGTTAGGAGCACAGGGCTTAAAGTCTCTTGTTTGCATACATTGCTTAAAACCTTGGCTTTATTCCACTAAAACTAAATTCCTTTTCTGTGCTTGTTACATCTGATGCTAATTGTATCAAGAACCTTCAATGGAAGAAAAAACCAAACACCTCTGTTTCTCGTTAACCAAAAGCTAAAGTACCCTTCGGATGTAATGCTTCCCAAGCTGCCTCAGGAAAGCGTGGAAGGTTCTTCCTTAGGTATGAAGATGAATTCTAAAGTAACCACTTCTTTACACAGCCAGCAAGCGGTCCACCTCCACAGCAAACCTCAAACCAACAGAAGCTGCCATGAATAAACGTTTGTCATCATCTGCAGCACTTTTAAATGCTTCTGATCGAAGTAAGTGTTTGGGTTTCTGTTGGTAGCAGGTGTACTGCTTACCTGCTACCAGGGAGGGGACAGGAGGAGGAATGATGCTCCTCTTCCTCCCTTGCTCTGTAACTCAGTTCCTGTTTTCACCTCAAATGCATTTTATGCAGTTTGTTAATCCAGCCTGACTGTTCAGGGGTTTCACCCAGTTGATGTGATCTCTGTTTAGAGGAGAAGAATGACGGTAAAGATTGCTGTTCTTTGTCGCTTTGTTGTTTTCTTTAATTATTTCTGGAATCACGTGACCAAAGTCCAATCTTAGTGAATGATTGATTCCCAAATCATTTCACTGCTTTTAGAGGGTTGCATGCCTTAAATTACATCCTAAATTTTCAGCAAACTAAAAATAGGACAAAGAATAGTTTGAGTTGTTCTTTCAGACGGTCATTTGATTGCCTGTGTGCAGGGAAAGAATCAAGTTAGTTTTGGGATCTTTGTTTTCTGCAGGTCCTGCGCTCCATAAACACGTGCTTTCTTTTTAATCTTAGAATTTTGCTATAACCAAATAGAAAAGAACGCATGAAATGGGATTTTGTTTGGGTGGGAGTAGGTTGGTTTGTTGTGACGTGGAGTTGTAGAGCGGTTATAGCCAGGTAGGTGTACCTTACTGTGCCAATATCAAGGAATAGAAGTGGACAACAAGCACTATTCCTTTGGTTGGTTGGTTGTTTTAATGGATATCTGAGGGTGTTTGTGCTCTAAGAGATCAGCTACAATTTCTGTGGATTCCATTGGAAAACGCTTAGTGTGTATGTGCAAGCTAGCTAGGCTAGAAAAACCCCTATCAAGCATACCAAGGGCACAGCTAGCAGTATTTTTGCAGACTGAGGTTGGAAGGTGATGCAGCAGAAAAAACTTGCATTCGTACACTCTTTGCCTGCTGGGGAAACTGGTGAATTTATATCCATAGTGACACAGCTGCAGGGGCAGTCTCTGAGTCACTGGGGACTGCTTGCAATCTGAAATGATTTTTGTATATAATGCCTGCAGGGTTCAGCTCTGGGTATGAGTCAGAAACTGCCATAGAGTACAAATTAAGCACCTAACAAAGGAAGACAGTAATTATCAATTAAATGGAATTGCTTTTCAAACTTACTGTCTACCTTGAAATCCTCTGTGAATCTTCGTTTGCTTTGGAGAGGAGAAAAATCTCAGGTGGTTTGAAAAGGAAGAAATTTGGATAGAATCTTCTGAGTGCTTGGATCAGCTGGGTGTAGAGGTAATAGACTGACAGATTTAGATGACAGCAGTTCTTTGCTCTTGGTCTGGTGCTCAGGAGGAAATGTTTGCTGAATAATGACTAAATTCAAATGACAGAGGAAAATACAGCTACAAAAATGACCAGATTGCTTCTGCCTTGTGTATGGGAAGGTGGAGGGACAAAATGCTGAAATGAGAGAGGAGCTTCTCCCTGGATCAGTGGGGGATTTCCTCAGTGCTGAGCTGAGCACTTTGTTACACCGAATGTGAGCACTTTTTTTCCAGTTATTTATTCACAGAGGCATATAAGGATGACCTTAATAGGTCAAAACATGAAGTCTGTATGACTGGCATCCTGTCTCTATGATAAGCAATGTACAGGAGTAAAAGAAATAATGCTTATATGGAGTAATTCTTCCCTGATCCAGTTTTTCTGCTTCTGAAGGATCTGTAGTACAGAGTGACTTAATTGTGCTTCTGTATCTTTGGGTGCTGGGGCTGGTGTTGGAGGGGACTTCTCAGCTTTCCCATAAAATTAATCAATGCACTTTCACTTCCAGGTACCGCAAAGCGAAGCGCCTCATTAAACAGGCTGAATAACAAAGTCCCTCTGCACTCTCAGCAGTCAGCAGTCAAAGGTTCACAGGTGGAACAGAAAGGTGCTAGAAACGACTTGGTCTGGAGAGTTGGGAGGCATAGACGGGATATTTGAAGTTGACTTTAAGCCATGCCCCAGTTTCACTATACCTGTTTTTACCCATGCTTTCATTGCTGCAATGCACTGAGGCAAAACAATAGTTACGAGCATTCCAGTGCCAGATATTGGGTAACCTCCTACAAATCATGATTTCTGCTAAAAGGGGAAGGGTGGGGGGAGAATAGACAAATGGTAGCCAAGCCATTTAGCCTACGAGAAGCTACTTCTTCATAATGACAGATCAGTGTTTGTAGTAGATTTCTTGGCAAAAGCAAAGCATGGGAATGGCAGCTTAGAAAATTACATATGTAAGCGTCGTGTTGAAGTAACATTCCTTACGCTTCGTCTCTAGGAGGAGCAGAAAAGAAGAGGAGCACATCTTTGAATAGAATGAGTAGTAAACCCCATTCTTCTGAACTAGAAAAAGTGAAAAAGGAAGAAAAAACAGGTGGTTTGTTTCATAAAACTGAATACTTCTTTTAAAACCCATTCCCAGTAAAGTTTGGATAGGACTGCTTCCACTGGTTTCCTTTGGTTCTGAAACCTTCAGGACTTTTTAAGGGCTTTTTAGTTACCTAGTGGTAAAGATAAAATAGTAAAGATAGAATTTCTTCCTTTGGACAAAAAAAAAATCCTGTAAGAAGGACATAATTTTGTTGGATTGGGCTCTAAACAGACTGTTAAGTTGTCCCTTTGCTAAGAAGAGAGATGTGTGATTGGAAGCTGGCAGGACTCGGCTATAGTAAATGTCAGTGATGTGTTCACTTCTTGGTTAAACCTTACTTCAGTATTTTTTTGAGCTCCCTTTCATGGTTCAGTTTAACAGCATCTTCTCTGGTCCTGCTGCTGATCTAAACTCTGCATGTGAATGGTGGAGGAAGCCAGTTACCACTTCACTCTCTTTTGTTCTCTATTCTCACTGTTAAAATTTCTCTTTTCTAGCACCTCATCCTAATGCAGAAGACTAGAAACTTCTCTAACACTCTTTTTCCTTTTGAGTTAACAGTTCTGAAACTTTCCTTTTTAGCAGCTGTTGCCAGCAGTGGAAACTTTATTCTGTTTCAGAATCTTTCCTGTATGGGAAAATGCTGGGTGCCATGTGAATCTGTGTGAGTGTTGCCCGGTGATAATCATTGGCTTTGCTTTGCAAACCTTTCTATCACATCAGAACACCTTTCCTGCAATCCAGGGTGTATAGCTCTGAAGAGCTGGTAAAAAAAACTTCATGTTTTAACCGACTTCAGCACTCATTTCTTTTATATGCATGTCATTCTACTCATTAATTTAATTGGTATCAAGCAAACCAAGGACAAGTGCAGCATAAGAGATTTGCAGCATTTAACCTTTCTGAGCTTTTAGTTTTGGTTTCCATCTCCATGACTTTGGTGTTTTTCTTCCAAAACTGTTACGATTTGCAATGATGCTTACAAACCTCCTTTGCTTTGTACTGCTTGTCTTTTTCATTACATGATTTCATGTTGGATCCTTTTTGGTTTGTTCCCATCGTTTAGCTCGTCGTTCCCAGGTCAGTCCTCTGGACAGTAGCGTAATCAGTCGCCTCCTCGCCCCCACTCAGGCCTCCTTAGCTAGGAGTAAAAGTGCTGCTACATTGTCGGCTGATGGACAGGATCCCTCAGGTAACAGGAAGGCAGCAAGCCTGAAAGGTTTTTGCAATTGTTCTGCAAACAAGAACATAACAGTAACTAACTGTGCTACCCATCAGTGTGAATCAGATACCTGATATATGGTTATGTATAATATTACTTATCCAATGTTTTCTTGGGTCAGTAACAACCAATTCATATGCTGTGTTGCATGTTTGCTTTGCAAAACCAGAGAATAATACTGGCTTTTAAATTATGGTGCCAGTTTGTTTGTTTGTTTGTGGTTTTGTTGTTCTTAACTGACTGAGAGATCTACATTGGAGTGTACGCTCAAATGAATCTGAGACAGACTGGTCAGAAAACAGTACCAGGAAATTAAACAAAAGGGGGGAAAAAACAACGAATCATCTCAAAGGAGGCTGAAAGAATAAGTGCAAGGTCTGGATTTCTTTAGTGGGAGAAACGTACAAACGTGGGGAAGGAATGGCCTTACCATAAGGGCTGGGAGCCCTGAGCTGCTTCACTCGGGCTGACTGTAGGCATAGAGGCACACCAGCAGCAGCACATACTGGCTGGCTCATGCAATTTTACACTGGTCCAAATGGAGCTGGTAAGCTCACACAGTGGCTCAGCTCAATAGTAGCACAGGAATTTCTACATCATCTCAGCTGCAAGCCCTGGCTGCATCCCACATGCCTTGTAATTGTTACTGGTGTTGAGCATACCCCAGTAAATACATATGTGGAACCAATGCAGAGTCCTTTCTCCTCTCTTACCCTATAACTTGTGTTCCCAGTTTTGCTTATTTCCTCTTTAGTAGATTCCTCCATCTTTGTTTTTGATCTTATGCCACTTAACTTGATCCTTGTTGGTAACGGTAACATTTCTGCACTGCTCCCCTTGTATGAAACTCAGGTTTTTGGTTTGTAGTGGTCACATTTTTGCACACCTATCTATATGCCACTTTTATTTTACCATGAATATTTTAGTTTGTGTCATGTGGGGAGATGCCATCTTTTTCACTGTTGCTGACAGCATGTGACTTACTCACTGTTGCTGAATTAAAGATAACTTACTGTCTTATCAGTTTACTTAAAAGTGCTTTAGCACAAACTAAGCACAAACAGAATGCAGTTCTCCTTACACAAATGCTTTAAATATAAAAATAAAATGTATTTTCCATAAAGTGACAAAACTAATTGCTGGCATCTGTCAGAATTTTTTCATACTACAGATAAATCACATCTAGTTTCAGATTTTTACATATATGTATGCTTTTCCATCTATAATTATTTTAGTGAAGAAAGTAATTAGACAATACAATGTTGGAAGAAATTGTATTACTTGTGAAGCGATTGACAGTTACCACATGAAAGCTATTGTGGTTTCACAGTTGACCCTTTTCTCTTGATATGCTTCTTTTTCTCAGCATAGTTTGATTTGGTAATGTGGATAAAGGGCACAAATATATTGTAATATAGGGGTCAGAGAGGCAAAGTAGAATAAAATAATGTTGCATAAAAGCTTATTTCACAAGATAGGTTTGTAAAGTAGTGCTCAGATTCCTCATGTAATGCTGCTGTGAAACTCTTACAAAAGAAGGAAGATTTCCCCATGAGCATGGGGGGGAACGTGCTTAAAATTTGAACCAGTCATGAAGAACTGGTAAAGAATTATGATAAGCCTTTAACACTGTTGTGAAGCATTTGTGATAAGATGCAGCTTGACTGGAATCAAAGTAACACTACCATATTGCTTATTTCAGCATTGTTTGGAAAAGCATTTTATTTTTATCTCCGTCAGATTGCTGCTTTCAGAGTGGTTTTGTTCTTAGTGCTGCTGCTTCCAAAGTACTAATCGTGTGGTGGTGGTGTCTGTGTCCATGACCCATTGCAATGTGCACTTCCTGTGGTGTTTCTCTGTGCGGTTTCTAACACACAATCTTTCTTTTTCTCTCTCTCCCTCTTCCTTTTCTCCTATTCTTATGCTGTGCACTTGGTTCTTGTTTTGTCTTGTCAAATTCCTAACTTTTATAGAATCTCACCTCTGTCCTCGTTCAGCTTCAGCCAGTTCCATCAGTTCCCCAGTCCCAACTCCTAAAGTGCCCGTGCGCAGTCGTAGCATCGACAGATTGAAGTCCTCTGTATCTTCATCTGATGCAAGTTCACCAGATCCAACCCAGGTTTGTTGAAATTCCAGAGGAATTAGGTTTGTATTAATTCGGGGTTTGGAAGCACTCAGGATGGGATCCTGATTCAGCAGATGTCCTATATCACTTCATATATGCTTCAGAAATACAGTATTGAAACTGCATTGCAGTTTTACAGTCCTTGATCATTCCAGTATTTTAAAAGCAAGCTGTCGGCTGCTTGTGGCTCCTGAAGGATAATTTAGATAACATACTGACTGGGTCTGTGTTTTGGAACACAGAAGTACACACTGCTGAAAATCTGTGTGCTTATGGCAGCAGCTACCCTGACTTTAACATATCCTGTAGTGAGCGTTTTATTTTTGCCTGTCTTCTTAGAAATCAGAGACTGAGAAACCATCCCCAGGTTCTGGGTTGCGTCGCCCTTCCTCTCCATCGGTGTCTGCCCGTAGAAGATCCCCTTCTCCTGCCAATTTGGTGAAGCGTCCTCCATCACCATCTGCAGTTAGGTGTGTGTCCTGGCTGGATCTCTCAGCTCCGTAGTGTACGTGAGATTTTCAGCGTTATCCCTGAAAAATGTTCTTTACTCCTGCAGACAGAAGACTCGCCCGCCTTCGCCTGGCATAGCAAAACAGAGGCCGCCATCTCCTACTCCGATCCATAAACCAGCACCCATCCAACGCCCACCTCTCACACCAGGTGTTATCAACATTACCAAAAAGAAAACTGAAGCAGAGAGCAAACCAAAGGAGAAGAGCACAGAAGCAACAGGACATGAGCAAGGTGCCCCATCAGCCTTGGACAGGGATGCAGGAGTGGCTAGCACAAAAACCAAAGAAGGTGAGTGCCTTTCTGTGGCTGAGGCTCTTATTCCACATACATGCAGCGTGTGCTAGATTTGGTGGCTGCCCTCTGTCTGTCTGGAATCTTTTCCCTGGGGCTGTAAGAATTCTTATGCACATAACACAAGCCTGATTCAGCTGCTGAGTGTGCTTGGTGAAATTAGGCTTTGTAGCTGCAGGTAGCAATTATGTGGCTGTGGGACATAAGCTGTTTTTTGGTATTAAAGTGCCTAATGATGGCATTGTGTTTTGAATGTATTGTCTTTAGATCAGAAGGAAAAAATAACTGATGTCACGTTTGTTAAAATGACCTCAGCTGGAAGGCTTTATAAAAATTAAGCAGAATGTATGTGCTAATGTGTGAAATATTAAAAAAGAAAGGCATTCCTCACCAATATTATCCTGCTTTTGCTCTGCTGACACTGAGAGCTAATTCTGTGAATGTGTAGATGAGCTATTGTCATGGAAAAGTAATATTTATAGAGTGGGAATAACTGATAGCCATCGGAGTTCTTTAAATATTTATTGAGTGTAACTGGCTGACAAGATTTGTTTGTGTTTTTTTTTTTAATGTTAATTTATAATAGTATCTCTGAGATTCAGACATGGTAACACCAGGCAGGGCATGAGCAGCCATAAATGGCAGGCTATATAAAAACCTGTTAACCTGGTAGCTGGAACCATTCTCATCTCCATGTAAATTGGAAAATGATTTGTTGCTAACACATGATATTACTGAAGTAATTAGTGTGAGCCTTCAAGGCCAGGTAAAATGATGATACTCTATAAATACAAAGGCATTAATGTTATGAAAGAAGGCAGATTTTAGAATTAATATTTCCTCATCATGAACGTGCATTCTGTTTTATTTGAAGAAAATTTAATGTATTTCCTGAAGCAATTTTTTTCCACTTTTCTTTAGATACATCTAATTGTTCTGGAATGAGTCTGTCTTTTAGGAATATGTTATAAAGTACTGTGGTAATTGGAGAGTATCATTAACCATATTGTCTGCTGCATGACTGGAACAGCATGATTGAAATGAATTATTTCAGCATCATTGGGCACCCCTTCAGAATCACCCTTTGGCTCATGTGGGTCTCTGCATGCAGAGATGCTTGCTGCTGGGTGATGGGGGCTGATCTAAATGTTAGTGGCAAGAAAGAATTGTCATCATATGATGATAACATCTTTCTTAAAATTAAGTTACATGGGCTTTTAAACAGCAGTTTCTGTTCCACTTAGCAGAGTCAGGTAGCAAAGCAGCAGCAGGGACCACCACAGCTGAAGAAGCTGCTAAAATCTTGGCAGAAAAGCGGCGTTTAGCACGGGAGCAGAGAGAGAGAGAAGACCAGGAGAGAATTCAGAGACAGGAAGAGGAAAGGTAACTGTGGGAGAAGGGGGTGATGCTTCCTGCTGTTGGTGTGGTTGGTGTGGACATTTCAGCTGTACGTTTCCCTAAGCATTGAGTTTGAGATGGGACAAGTTGCTTGTCTATTGTTAGTCTGTACCTCAGTATGCATGTGATGCGTGGTCACAGTGCAGATCACTGCTTTCTTTTCCAGACAGTCACCCTTGCTAATTCTGTTTCAAATCTAGAATGTGCTTTTTACACTCTTCGCTTTGTTGTCTTGAAATATTCAGCCTCTCTGTACAAAACTTTCCTCTGAACTCAGGCAGTGAGTACGTGAAATCTTGTTCTACTGGTCCAACATCTGGATCAGAAATGTTGCAGCCAAATAATTCAAAGCAACAAATCAGAATACCCTTGTTTACCAGATAGAAGTTGTTAAAAATTACAGCTTTGTGCTGACTTTACTCCAGTTTGGGGGTTACCTGTGTGTGCTTTTCTGAACATTACAGTATCAGATTTTGTATGTTTTCTACTCACAGGTATAAAGCTGGCCTAAACTTAAATGCAGTCTGATATTGATGTTTTATCAGAAACATGTCATACCCATATTGGATCAGATTGGATGTGTGTGACCGTGTGACACCTCCAGTATACCACTGGAACTAAGGCTGTAAAAGGAAGTTGTTTCTAAAATCTGACTAGATTTGTTAAGACACTGAAAGTTGCATTCCTATGAGGGATGCAGCGACTGTTATTAAGGTGTTGTCTCATAATACATGTCTCAGTGGAACATTCCATTATTGAAACAACTGGTCTTGGACTTGTCTTAATCAGCAAAGAACATCAAGGTGCACATAGTTTCCTCCAAGTGTTTGTGCATTTCCTTGGACTGGTCTGACTGGTGACATCTGTGAATCTACAACAGAAACTGTCCTTATGAAGTCACTCTGTGATTGACTGAAGTAGAAATCCTTGCTTTCCTAATCTGTCTCGCATGCATGCTTACAAATGCATATTTATATTTTGACAACACTAGAGTCAGAGAAGAAGAAATGGCCAAGAGAGCAGTTGAAGAAAGAGCACGACGGGAAGAGGAGCTCCGCAAGCAGGAGGAAGAAAAGAGACTCGTTTATGAGGAACAACAAAGACAAGCTGAAGAGGAGAGAATCCGCCGAGAACAGGAAGAACAGGAAAAGCTTGCAGAGCTTCAGCACCAGGTTTGCTTTCAGCTGAGATTGGTTGGAGAATGTTGTGAAGTCCTTGCCTTGCCTTAGTCTGTGTGATTTCTGTTAGCTTTTGATAGGTTCAAGTATGGGACAAAAGCACACATTTTGGAGTTGTTTGGGTTTTTTTAACCATCTGGGATGTTATTTTGCACACACAAATGTATTGTATTAAGACTGTTTTACCAACATACTGCTGTGAGTTACAAGAATATGGTCGGTCTGCCTGGAAAGTCATCTGATGTCCTCTGTTCCCACACGAGTGAAAAGGAAGATCAGTTGTGCTTCCAAGTCTGCTTTTCTAATTGAGAAATAGCCTTCCACAGCTAATACCTTTGTGCCTTTCTATAAAGGTATCTGTCCGAGTGAAACAAACTCTGTTTTGAAGAACGTGGACTTTCTTTAAATGAGATTGATTTAGAAAATCAAAGCAGCTTTACAGATGAGAGCTTGTAGTGAGATGGTTTGTGTTTAGAGAGCTGTATCTTATGGATAGCATAGATATGTGTCTGAGCATTTCTTTAAAAGCTTGCTTAAATTTATAACAGTTATGTAGTGTTGACCGTGTTTTTATTTTCTTTCCAGTCGTAGTGAAAAAGATTTTCTAGTGAAGAAGGAGCAGAAGATACTCAGCACAGAGTTCCTTTTAACAACAATGCCTGACTGGCAAAATTTTTGAATTAAGCTTGTGACATACAGAACTCAATTGCTGTTCTGCTACTTTGTAAATTGTTCTTCTTAGAAAAACTTCATCATGAAGTTTAAAGCCTAGGCAGCCCAACAGCATCCATTTGCTTCATCCAAAGTGTTTGCATAATGATAATATAGCCATGCATACTGTTTTTCTTTCCAAGTCAGGTTTTGAATGTCATAGTAGTATAAATTTCACATTGGTAGCTGTATAGTTGGCATTTAGCTGCAATGTGTGCTCCTTTTAAATACTGATTGTCTGCAGCTCCTGTCTGTGTTACACCAGAATCTCTGTAACTGGTCTGCTTTGAATTCTTGGAGATGAGGTTTTCACTGAATGCTTTTCTTTCTGTTCTCTTTATTTTCAGAGGGAAGAAGCTGAAGCAAAAGCTCAAGAAGAGGCTGAAAGACAGCGGCTGGAAAGAGAGAGAATTATGCAGCAAAATATGCAGGAAAGGCTTGAAAGAAAAAAGGTATGCTGTTTCAAGAGCAGAGAAGTCTCTTACCCTTAGAACAGGGGTTAAGTGTTAGCACTAAAATAAACTGAGCAGGCAGCCTGTCTCAGATTCATTCAAGCAGAAGCAGTAGTAGTTGTTTTACGTCAGCTGTGACTTGTGAGCTTTAAAAGCAGTGAGTGAAGTAGTAAGTGTATGAAATAAGAAAATATATGATAATTGATGAAAATTTAAACCAGAGTGCTGAAATAAAACTCTATCATTGTAAATATTTTCCACTTTTTAACAGAGAATTGAAGAAATAATGAAAAGAACACGAAAATCGGATCAAAACGAATCCAAGGTACTCATTTGCTTAGATTTGTGTAAAGGCCCTTCTGAAGCCCTGTGTAAAGCCTTTGTCTTTGTCTTGTAACCTTTGTTCTTCTGTTACCCTCAAACCAGCTTGCATGTGAAGGTCCAAGTGCTAATGTACCAGAATAATTTTCAGTAGCTTGCATACATTGTACACATCCTTTTGCATTGCTGTTTCAGAAGTCTTTGTCTGATGCATTTTTGTTGAACGCATACAGAAACACTGTGATCTGGCAGTGCCACTTTCTGACCGGGTACAAAAAACACTGGTTAGTAGTGGATTTCATTTTTTTAAACAGTCATCCTTCTCCTACTGTTCAAAATGCCATCCTATTTTGATACCATGTGGCTGAAAACCAATAAATATTTATTGCACACCTTGGAAAGGGAACTCGGGAGTATTTCCTAGGCAGGGGATGGAAGCAAGTCTCCCACATGTTTACATGCTCTGGCTCAGCAGATCTGCTTGTTGCTGAGTGACCTGAAAAGTCAAATCAGCTCCAGCAGCCCTCTTAGTTGACTCCCTGTCCCCAGCCATGGTTGCAGGTTGTCTGTCAGCCTTTGGAGCAGTGTGGCCTTACTGCCTGGTGCAGAACAGCCCTGCGTGGGAGCCGTGCTTGAACCTTTTTTGAAAAGCTTCTTGGTAGTGAGCTGTTGTGAGTAACACTGTGGGAATTCAGTTGCAGAATGAAGGAAAGTCTGCCTGTGAGGTCATGGAGGGAGAGGATATAGAAGAGGAGGAAGAGCTGGGACTTGAGAAGGCTGATCAACCCGGTAAGGAAATGTGATAAGTCAGATCTAAGTTGCTGTCAGTGTCTCGGTGACATTTCAGGCGTGTTAAAAATGTCAGATCAGTTAATGGCGTCAGCTGTGATTACCTGGGACACAAGTCCTAGAAGTACCACAGAGTCTTTTTACTTGAGATCTTTCTTCTTAAACCCAATTCCATCCCACAGAAGAAATCCAAAATGATGAAATGTAAAACGATTTGTGTGAGAAAAATACACTCCTCACAAGTGTATTTTTATAGATGGAAAACAAATACATCGTTATAGGCAGCTTGTCTATAGATTGGTTTCTGCATTGAAACAATGTCTCAGATTTTTGGCAAGGGAGGGTCAATTTGACTCTTGCGTTTTATTCATTTAGAATAGCAGCACTGTTCCTGAAGCTGTGTTGTGTTGTTTTTCTTTCCCCAATGCTTTCAGGAAAGCTGAATGGCATTGACTTACCCCAGGAAGTCAAAGGGGAGACAGAGGGTTGTGTACAGACTGCACGGAGCTTGATCTCCACAGAGCCTGAGCAACACACTGTGACAGAGCTGAAGGCCAGTGAAGTATTTATGAATGGCAGTGATTTGAAAAGTGATGAGGGGTCTCTACTTTTTACTGAATTGAAGGATTCCGGGTGAGTCTGCACTGTCGAGCAGTTCTCTGTCACTCAAGAAATCCCTTTCTTTTTTTCCTTTTTTAATTAGTTTTAGTACTGCATTTAGCATTGGGTCAGATTTTGCACCCCACTAGTTTGCTGGTATTTTTCTGTATGTGGTGTGTGACTGCTGTCAGTATACTGGCTTGTGGAGAGGCAGTTATGGAGAATTGTCTGCTCAGATGACACATGTTGACATTACTGGCTTTGCCAGCAACACAGCAGTGTTACTTATAAAGAAAGATACTGGCTTGAAGTCTTTTCCCTTCAAGTAACTTCTCATTAACAAAACATTAAACAAGGAGGAGGGGGACAAAAAAAAATAACCTGTAGAAAGCTGTAGAAGAATCTCAGTGGTGCTGAAACACCAGATAGAACACAAAAGCCTCCTTTTATCAATATTGTTGTTTTTCAAAATTTATCTTCTTAAACATAAAATATTTGCATCTACTGCTGGAAAATTTGTCTTCTGATGCTAGTTCCATTTGCTTATCTAAACACTAATGATTTAGAAATGGCATTGTGAACTCTTTGCAAAGTGATTAAAAAATGAATTCCACTAGTGGTGAATTATGAAGACATTTTCATTATTTTCTCAAAAATGAATGAAAATTCATCACTCTGAGTTTGAATCTCTTTAAAGATATGCAGTATTCTGAGGATCAGTTCTGTATTTAAAAAGTCAAACTGGAGGGGAAACAAAAGGAGAAATGCATATTACTGAAATAGAATTTTAAGGGTAATTCTTTAAATCTGCTGGTTCCTACTGTCAGTTCTGGAGCCAGACCTTACCTGAGAAGTCTTAGTGTAGTTAAAAAGCAGTTACATGGTGGCGAGTCATTCCTTTGCACTGGTTCTTGGAAGCGAGATCCCACGTGGCAGCTGCAGGACCTTGTCTAGGATTGCCTTTCAGGATATGCAGTGCTTTGCAAGGTATGCAGACTAATTGGCTGGCCTGTAATGAATCTAGAGGTTAAAAATCCACAAATTGTAATACAAATGATCTGTTTGCTTTTTGTAGCCATCCTGCAAAAGAAATGGTTATCGATGACTCAGTGAAGTTGGGTGTTAATGAAGCTGATCATACAAGTGGACTTATTCAGAATCTTAATGGAAAATCTGATCTGTGGACTTGCGAGGAATTCACTGACATTGGAGTACATTCCAAGTCAACCAAACTGAGTTCAGACAGCATCTCTGCTGGTAACTGTAATCAAAACTTGAATGATGCTGCTACAATACCTTCTAGTCCCAAATTGACTTATGAGGAAGATGGTGCAGTGAATTCATTGACCAAACCTATAGATTCTTCATCAGGTAATTCAAGCTGATTTCCCCATCTATCTCCTCCTCTGGCTAGATAATTAACTTTGCTGTATTTTTACTCTCCTTGCCTTAACTTCAGCTTCTTATTTTCAAGGCACTTTCTCCAGTGTGTAGACTGGAGGGAAAGCTCTTTCTTTAGTGCTTGCAACTTGCATTCTGTCAAAAGAAGCCACCAGTTGATGCCTTGTTAGCGATTTGCTCTATGCAGCACCTAAGGCCTGACAAGAAGGCTCTTCCAAAGACAAAGCCAAGCTCCTGTTTAGCTCCTGCATCCCCTGTCAGCACTCAAGCCCATCTGTTGTGTTCTTCTATTCTGATTTCTTCTAAGATGTCTTAAATGGAACGTGTTACTTTTGAAGATACTAACAGTTTAATAGGTGTCTGATGTAACTCTACAGACAAGACCCGGCTACTTTCCCCTTTCCACTCCTAGGCATGTTCTGTAACTCCTTGATGCTGACCTGCATGGTCTTTAAGAGGTCTCTTCAGGCTCTGGCAAGGTACCTGTCCTCTATACTTACTGTAGAATAGGCTTTTGCTTCACTGAAGGAGAGTAACACCAACTTTTAATTCCGCAAACGGTTGTGTTACGTCTTAGGAGGAGTAATAAAGCTACACACATAATAATCAGAATTTTCTGGAAGAAATCAGGCTGCATCTGAAGCCCACGTACTTGAGAACCCAGACCGTGATGCAGCGTAGTGTCAGAGAGGCCTTGGTGTGCTGGTTTTCTTAAGATTAAACTGCTCAGTTGTTGGAGCAAAACCCCATGTGAATGCACTCACAGCAGAAATCTCTGTCCATGAGATAAAGACTGCGTGAACAGATGAAGTAAATGACAGTGGGAAGAAACAAGACTTGGTATCCACAGTTTCTTTCAGTGATGTGTAGCACTTTTTTTTTTTTTTTTAATTAAAGTGTAGCACTTTTCTAGACTGAACTGTTTCCTGAGTCTCCTCTGTCACTCTGCGTCTTGTGAGTTGTGGTCTGGTGGACATAGAGACACGCTGAGACTTCCTTTGGGCCTCTGCTGAGTAGTCTGAGACCAGAGTGATTTCATGTGATTCTGCTGATTGCGTTTTCTTATGCTCAAAATCATTCATTTCTTAGTGAAGGAAGTGTTGCCTTTTAATTCTGAACTTGAATGTGTTTGGAGATAATGTGCTTTAAGAGTTACATGCACAGCTCTGGAAATGAATACTCGTATGTTTTGTTTTTGAAAGAAAAGCGACTATGCTGATGTTGCACTGTAAGAGGTGGTTCTGCGCTTACCTTCCTGGATGAACAGCACTCTGACAGTGAGGACAGATTTATGTAGAATACACACAGTATGATGGTTACACTTTCTTTTCTTTGCTCTTTGGACAGAACTGTGAACACTTGAGACCTGGAAATAATCTGATTGCACTTCAGTAATCCAGTGCTCTATCAAGTACCGAAGGCCTTGTTTTGAAAAGCTGCTTGTTTACCTTCATCCATCTTCAAGTTTGCAAAAAATAAGTAACACCAGAAAGGGCTGACAAACTTCTAGATTTGCACCTTGAAGCATTTCAGGGAGACTATTGTGCTGATGTTCCTTTTCCATTCGTTTAGTTTAGTTGTTAGAGAGGATGTCCTTGTGCAAGTAACGCTCGTTTCCCTTTTACAGACTTTACACTAACCTGTTTGAGTCTTTTTGTTTTCCTATCAGTGTAATGCACAGCAATGTGCCCCTGGGGACTTCCCAGTTAGCTACTGGCTGGATTTTGCATATTCCTAAAATGGCATTTGAAGACTTCCTCAATGTGTGTTAAAGCTGAACACCAGTGACAGTGTTCTGGCAGAATGTCTTATTTTCTAACATAAAAGTATGGGCGGTTTCAAAATGCAGTGTTGTGTCATCACTAATATGTTTTAATCTATTGGAAAACATCAAAACGTTTTACAGCCTGTGCACTAATTTACTGCAATACTGTTGAATATCTGGATACGTTTGTCATAGTGCAGTTTAACGTGTCATGCTTTTAAAAGTGTTTTCCTTTTGAATTATTTATCTACACTCGTGTAAGTATTATTTTATTGTGTACATAACAGTATTAGACCGTTGAAGTCATATTTTGTTCATGTTAATTACTCCAAGTATTCCTGTTCTAGCTTTATTATAGTGACTGCAAGCTGCATATATGTTTCCCTTCCCCTAAAGCCTGCATTAAATAATCTATTTAACCTGAATCTTGCCTGCTTTTGCAGCATGAAGAGATTAACCAAGCATCTTCCAAAAGCTGCTGCTAGAAGTAATAATGCAGTCTTGCTCTTACGTCTCCTGTAACAGAGATACTGAACAACGAAGCGATTAATTTAAGGAATAGCTGTCTCCAATCCTGCTATAAACACTTGGCTGATACTTCCATGCGGATGAATCATCCCAATGGCTGCTGCATTTTCAGCGGTTGATGAAAATGGTTTTGCTGGAACTAAAAGTGTTCTTTCCCCAACGACTGCAATAGGAAACCCTCAGCCTTCTTCCTGCGTTTGCTGCGCAGCACATGGTAGTACTTTTTAGACTTTAGAGCAGTGCCTTAGGTGAAAAGAAAGGTGTATTTTTGTACGATAAGCTGTTTCATTCTGGCAGAGACAATCATCCCAACAGAAGATGCGGATATTTTTTCTGTGCTGATATACTCTTTGTCCAACGGTCTGTTACAGCTCTCTGTAAATATGTGCGCTCTGTTAAATAAACTTTGCAGTTGAACAACGCTTTATTTCTCTAATGCTAAACATTACCTTACTAGGAGGCTCCAGCCCCTTGCCATGCTGACCTGCCTTGAGATGCCCTCTGGTGCTGCTCTAACTGCTCCTCCCTGCAGAGTCCCAAACCAGGTGCCCCTGTGGCAGTAGCGTTTGTGCAGTTGGAAAGGGATTTGTACTGACAAACACCTTGCTGTGTTTGTGTGCATCTGTGAGAGTCTCATAACTGTTGAATTCTTTAACTTGCTTTTCACTGCAAGCCTTCGCCTCGTTCTTGTAGGACCAGCACCTTGTTGTTGTAAGGGTAAGTCCTGCAGTGCTCCATGGCCATTGTGGAGCTGTGACCATCATGGAAACAGCAAGATGCTGCCCTTTGTTGGGGTATTTCTGTTTCTGGTAGGTTCTTGTGTATGAAGGGAAATGACTGAAGCAGCATCCAGTTCATAAATATTGCTATGTGTATCAGCTACTGTGATGGGGGGGGGAACAAAAGCATGAAAACCCTTCAAACCAGCCCATAGGTCACTAAAAGGTAATAGAGGTGTATGGACAGTGGCTGATTGAGTGTTTTCCAGAAGGTTTTTTTCACGTAGGCTGGTTTTGGCAGATGGTCTGCTGTCAATTATGTGTTTTTCTAATTGGTTTATGTACATTGTTGCTCTAATCCTCATGTATCTAAGGACACTGGCAGAAGAGCTCTTTCCTGTATCAAGATATCAGACTCAATCTCAGTAGCTCAGCTCATGAGAGATGTCTATCATACAAGATAGCAAAATGAAAAAACAACAGTTTTCCAGATTGTAGGAGTCCAGGCAGGCACTAGTCTCATTTTTATTAAATCATAAAACATACACTGACATGATAGGAGAGCTGTGCTCATCCGAGCTATTGTTAAGGCACTTCTAAATGAACGTGCACTCTGCAGTAGTTGAAAGAGTTTCTTATTAGTAAATTAATAATTGGATGTAGACAACCTTATTAAACATGATGTAAAAAAAGCTGGTGAGCAAAACTTTAGGGCAAACCATGCAGAAATCAAAAACAAAACAAGTTTACGGAAACTTAGAACTAACACTAAATTGTACTGCCAAAATGTTGTTATATGTATGTAAGATAAAGCCACTCCGTATGCTTGTTGCAATTTGGCGCGGTAAATAAGCAGAGGTACTTAGTATGGAGCTGCTGTTCATGGTGTGATACATGTAATGTTCCTGTACTTGCAAGAAGACAAAATGGATCTCTCTGATCTTGGGTGCAACGTCTGCATCTCCCTTTCTGAGGTGCATGCCTTGTCGAAACCACTTAGTGCAAGCACCAAGCTTAAGCCTATACTAAGCAAGTTTACAACTAGCTTTGTTTTAGTTTAAGCCACACACAGATTATGGTAGTATTTGGATTTTCTAATGCTAAAGTCTAAATGTTCAAGCCTTTGAGCTAATAGTTACTTAAAGGCAAGGTTAGCTTTTGCAGCAGTACATGCTTTCTTGCTGCAGGAGCTTCAAAACTCATACCCAGTCTATTCAAGCTATTTTAGTTGTTTTTATACTAAAACTGAAAAAAGTAGAACTCTTAACATGCAAAACCTGCACCTTTACCAGGACTATTTTGAAAAGCGGGCCTTTAAAATCCTTTTTAAATCAGTTGCTGTCTGTTCCTTACAGTCGTTTGGGACACTCAGCACAGTAAATTTTTCCATTATGGCAAACAAAGCGCTTGTTGGCCAGACCACGGGCACACTTTGTGCATTTGAAACAGTAATCATGCCAGGATTCATCTTCGTAGTTAACCACACTGGTTCCTCTTCCAAATCCTGCTAGGAGAGAACACAATTATAGGACGACGATAGTAGCTTTCCCCGTGGCTGGGTTAGCCCACCATGCAGCAGATCCCATTCTTACTGCCTCTCATGCTTCTGTAGTCTCACACACCGTAGTTGCAGTGTCTAAAATACTAGCCCAAAGTGCAACTGAACCGTGTTGTTTGCTTCTCTGTGAGAATGCAATCCAGGCAGCTTAGCAAAGGCTTGTCTGCAGTAAGCCTCGTCCCTTGGATTCCTTCTCCAGGGAACAATCCATGTGAAGGACATGGATCGAGACACTGATCACAGAGGTTGGGCAGAACAGCCTACCTCGTTCTTATAGGCTCAAAATCTATGCTCTGAAATGCAAGATCTGTGGGATTGACAGGATAGCACCCCTCATTGGCTGAGCTTTGTGGGGTTTTCATAGCCAGTAACTAACGGGGACATGTGAAATAGATGAGAAGTACAGCAAATGTCACTCAGGGCAATAAAAAAATTACTTTTTTTAGACTTGCAGTTCTCAGACTAATATTGATGTGTGAATAGTTCCAGCTGGGGCAATTTTGGAGGAGGTAAAAGGTAAAAGAAGCACGAGGAGTACAAAAGGTAAAGAAGCATGTGAGTTATAGTTAGATCACATGTAAATTGCTGGGGTAAGGTTTGGGATATTACAGCTGCTTGTGGTGTCAGTGGCCTCCGAGCTGCACATCTTTGGGGATCAGAGTTCTGACCTTAAGCACCCCACGGTCTCAAGCTGCATAAAATCCAACATACCTGTAATAGGATTCTTGCAGCCAGCACACTTCTTGGCAACACATTCCTTGTAGCATTCAACGCAGTAAAACTGATCCTCTACAGCTGTAAAGCGCTTCCCACCCAATTGCTTCTTGCAGTTGGAGCAAATGAAACACTCAGAATGCCAAGGCTGTTCCTGGTAAGTGAGACCTCCAGAAGTGATGGGCTAAGAGGAAAAGAGCAAGAAAGATGTTTCAGAAGAGAGGTGAAGCAGGCATGAGGTGTCGTGAAGGAGAGCTTGGTCGTGGTGAAGGTCACTCAAACGTTTTCATTAAAATGAAATTGTGCAACATTTGAACTCCTCATCCTTGAACACTTGAAGCCCGGAATTTCGCATGTCTGGAGCTTTCATAATAGTTTATCTTATTTGCAATTACTCTGCAATTCTGTTTTAATCAATTGTAAGATTATACAGCAGCTGTTTTACAAAAGATTGTTTTATGGTTTGAATACACAAACTAGAGAACATTGCTAGAGAACTTTAAACCACTTTAGCCTTGCCATCCCTAAAGCAAATACAAGGCTGTGCCAGCCTTGTAACATTTGGTTTCAACAGATTAGCTCCTAGCAAACCCTGCAGGCCCTGCTCTAGTACAAATGTGCCATAGCCTCTAGCTCTCTCGCACTCTTACACTGCTAGCTGCAGCACCAGTATCTCCAGAAAGAAATGCTAGCAATAGTACAATGAGAAGATGATCTGTCTACTGGCTTACTCTCCTAGCTTCTGACACAGATGCTACAGGCAGTTCTGGCAGCTGCAGTGGCAAAGGGGAAGGACTTACATTCTTGCATTTGGCACAGGTCTTGGCAAATTTATGCTCATGGCAGGAGACGCAGTAGAATTCATCACCCTTTGGGAAGAAGCTCCCAGATCCAATCACTTGCTTGCACTGGCTGCAAGTGAAGCAGTCCTTGTGCCAGACCATCTTCTTGTATTCAACATTTTGGTCTCCTACAACAGAAAGAAAGAACACTGCAGGTCGGATTTCAGGCCTGTGACAAGCATGCAGTAACCTCATGCAGCGTAATGGCTGCAAGATCTGTCCATACAGGACTTCAACAGCTCTTCACAACTAATTTCTACATCCCATTTTAGTAAGGATCTTCCAGATTTTCTTAGATTCACGTTTGCCAAGTGTTGTGCCTTTTGAGAGGAGGGTCTTGTTTCACATAGCAGAGCTTTTGACAGAAATTGTTTAACAATGACTACTAAAATCCACTGTCCACATGAGGTTTCAGAGGCTGCCATGCAGTTAACCCTTGTCTAGAATGGACAGGTAAGAGCAGCAGTAAAAACCTGCACCCCTTTGTTACTCCCCAGACTTGCATTACGATGCCATACTCCTAACTGCTGCTTAGTTAGCCTCGGGTTTTGCCCTAGCAGCACTCAGTAATCACATCCATGCTGCTAGCACTGGTACCTGCGATGATAGGCTTGAAGCAGCCCTTACACCTGGGTGCATCCTCAGTAGCAGTGCAGTTGCTACACCAGACCTTGTTGTTCTCCCTCAGCATGAAGGGCTCATTGACCAAGGACGTGTAGCACTTGACGCAGCGGAAGCAGCTGTCATGCCAGTAACGGTTCTTGAAATGCAGCTCCTGGAATGATCAGAAACAGTGAGCAATAAGCCCTCCTTCTGCTGAGCACCACTAGAACCAAGTTACTGTCCCAGTGCTATTATCATCGCATACGAAAAGCTACATCTAGGAAGAGCATAAGTGCACTTTGGGATTTTGGGGTAGCAGAATGTGCTTTAAAGCTAGCAACCTTGAGATGTGGGGTTCTGCAAGCAAGGGCTACTTTGGTCATCCTGTTCCTTCTAGTTGAGGTGTATGTTATCATTGCCATAAACATTTACAAACTGATTTAAAAATAATAATAACTATTATATCCTATGTTCCAGAGTGCTTCGCCCAGAAGATGAGTTTTCTGGGAGATCTACAAAAGCTGGATTAACTGCCAGTTGGGACAAGTTGGCATTTGCAGCAGTTCATATGGCCGAATCGAGATCCTGAAACCAGATCCCATGCAAAGGCAGCCTGAGCAGTGCCCCACGGCCTCTGGCTCTTTGCCCAAGCAGCTCCTCCAGGCATAGCCCAACAGCCAGGGTATTTGAAAGAAAACTCCACACAGAAGCTTGCAAGAAAGGGAAACAAATTGGGGGTCGGGGGGTGGGGAAACAAGCGTCTGCCTGCCTTGCTCTCATCACCTGTGTGAGCACCAAGCAGTTACCTTGGAGTCAGCACCGATGGGTTTCTTGCACTCGATGCAGGTGTTGGCACAGATCTTGTCAAAGCACTTGACGCAGCAGTGGCGGCCCTCCTTCTGCACATACTTCTTGCCTTGCAGGTTGTCGCGGCAGTAATAGCAGTCAAAGCGCTCCGACATGGTGCCCACGCTGTAACTGCTGG